AAGCACAGGGGGCGGGGCTCCCTTTGCTGGGGAAGAAGGAGGAAGTTTCTAGAACTTTCCACAGTGGCCATCTTGGTGGGTTTTTTGGTCCCATCCCCCAAATCCAAAAATGGGACCGAGTAAAACCACGACAAACACTAACAACCTAAAAACAAAATGGCCGCCGCGCCATCTTGGTTTGAGTTTTTCTTAAGTACAAGACAAGTAACCACCCCGTGTGATTGGTCCAGCAGCCTGTCAATCAACCCCAGAGCCAATGATGGATTGGTTCTGAAGCACAGGGGGCGGGGCTCCCTTTGCTGGGGAAGAAGGAGGAAGTTTCTAGAACTTTCTCACGGCAGCCATCTTGGTGGTTTTTTTGGTCCTATCTCCCAAATCCAAAAATCAGACCGAGTAAAACCAGGGCAAACACTAACAACCTAAAAACAAAATGGCCGTCGTGCCATCTTGGTTTGAATTCTTGTTAAGTACAAGAAAATTCATCATCAGAGAGGTGTGACCGACCCGTGTGATTGGCCCAGCAACCTGTCAATCAACCTCAGAGCCACAATGGATTGGCTCTAAAACACAGGGGGCGGGGCTCCCTTTGCTGGGGAAGAAGGAGGAAGTTTCTAGAACTTTCCACAGCAGCCATCTTGGTGGTTTTTTTGGTCCCCATTCCCCCACCAGCAAAAATTGGACCGAGTAAAACCAGGACACCGGACCATGGTCCAGTTGGGCATCAGTGACCAGAATGACCAGAGTGACCACTCCCTTTTTCCCACAGATTCTCTACAATCGCACCATGGTCACACTGACCACAATGACCACACTGACCATTCCTGTGTCCATTTTTTTATAGATTCTCTACAATCGGACCATGGTCCAGTTGGGCATCTGCGCCTTCCGCCAGGGCCTGATCAAGGACGCCCACAACGCCCTGCTGGACAGCAGAGTGACCACAATGACCACAATGACCATTCCTATGTCCATTTTTTTATTTCAGATTCTCTACAATCGGACCATGGTCACAATGACCACAATGACCACACTGACCACTCTGATGTCCATTTTTTTATTTTAGATCCTGTACAATCGGACCATGGTCCAGTTGGGTCATCGTGACCAAAATGACCAGAGTGACCACTCCTGTGTCCATTTTTTTATTTCAGATCCTCTACAATCGGACCATGGTCACACTGACCACACTGACCAGAGTGACCACTGACCACTCCTGTGTCCATTTTTTCCCAGATTCTCTACAATCAGACCATGGTCCAGTTGGGTCACAATGACCACACTGACCACAATGACCACAATGACCACTCTGATGTCCATTTTTTTCTCAGATTCTCTACAACCGCACCATGGTCCAGTTGGGTCACAATGACCAAAATGACCACTCTGATGTCCATTTTTTTATTTTAGATCCTCTACAATCGGACCATGGTCACACTGACCAGAGTGACCACTCCTTTTTTTTATTTCAGATTCTTTATAACTGGACCATGGTCACACTGACCACTGACCACTCCCGTGTCCATTTTTTTAGATTCTTCACAATCCGACCATGGTCCAGTTGGGTCATAATGACCAGAATGACCCCACTGACCATTCCCGTGTCCATTTTTTTTCTCAGATTCTCTACAACCGCACCATGGTCCAGTTGGGCATCACTGACCACTCTGATGTCCGTTTTTTCTCACAGATTCTCTACAATCGGACCATGGTCACAATGACCACCGACCACTGAGTGACCACTGACCACTCCTTTTTTTTTCTCAGATCCTCTATAACCGCACCATGGTCACACTGACCACAATGACCACTCTGATGTCCATTTTTTTATTTTAGATTCTGTACAATCGGACCATGGTCACAATGACCACAATGACCAGAATGACCTCACTGACCACTCTGATGTCCATTTTTTTCTCAGATCCTCTACAATCGGACCATGGTCACACTGACCACACAATGACCACTGACCACTCCATTTTTTTATTTTAGATTCTCTACAATCGGACCATGGTCCAGTTGGGCATCACTGACCACTCTGACCACTCCCGTGTCCATTTTTCCCAGATTCTCTACAATCGGACCATGGTCCCGTTCGGTCACAATGACCAGAATGACCACACTGACCACTCCATTTTTTCCCACAGGTTCTCTACAACCGGACCATGGTCACAATGACCACACTGACCACACTGACCAGAGTGACCACTGACCATTCCCGTGTCCATTTTTTTATTTCAGATTCTCTACAATCGGACCATGGTCCCGTTCAGTCACAATGACCACACTGACCAGAATGACCACACTGACCACTCTGATGTCCATTTTTTTTCCAAGATCCTGTACAATTGGACCATGGTCACAATGACCACACTGACCACTGAGTGACCACTGACCACTCCATTTTTTTTTATAGATTCTCTACAATTGAACCATGGTCACAATGACCACACAATGACCACAATGACCACACTGACCAGAGTGACCACTGACCATTCCTGTGTCCATTTTTTTTCTCAGATCCTCTACAACCGGACCATGGTCCAGTTGGGCATCTGCGCCTTCCGCCAGGGCCTGATCAAGGACGCCCACAACGCCCTGCTGGACATCCAGAGCTCGGGCCGGGCCAAGGAGCTGCTGGGGCAGGGTCTCCTCCTGCGGAGCCTCCAGGAGCGCAACGCGGAGCAGGAGAAGGTGGAGAAGCGGCGCCAGGTCCCGTTCCACATGCACGTCAACCTGGAGCTGCTCGAGTGCGTCTACCTGGTGGCGGCCATGCTGCTGGAGATCCCCTACATGGCCGCCCACGAGTTCGACGCGCGCCGAAGGATGATCAGCAAGCAGTTCCACCACCAGCTGAGGGTCGGGGAGAGGCAGCCGTTGCTCGGTGAGTGGGTTTTGAGCGGAAATTTGGAAATTTCGACCCAAAATTTGGGTTCTGAGGTCCATAATTACCTCAGGTAGGTCTTGGTTGCGTCATTTTAGGCCCAAAAAT